ATTCCTTCCTATCCTACTCTATATGGATTTTCTCAAAATCACTCATCACCTTTTCACACACTATTTACTTCACACATTTATTTATTGTCCATCTCTTCCACTAGAATGTAAACTCCTTAAGAGCAGGGCTCTTTGTTCATTGTTGCATCTCCAGTATCTGGAAAATTTCCTGACTATAATAGGCACTTTAAAGTACTTGTTCAGCGAATATATGAGAAGAAGGTTATAGAGAAGGCAGGACCAAATGCAAAATGCATTTAGTCACTTTTGGCAGTAGAGACATTTCTGGGGCCAAGTGGCTCCCAAGACAAGTTCTATTTTCTATTAAAGCTTAGTTCAAAACCAAGCTTTGCCAGCAAGTTCCTATATGCCAGCTAAATTATCTTTCATTTAATTTGAAAATCTTGTATTTAATGGCTTACCTCCATTGGTATGCTTTATCAACGTGTCTCTCTATTAGCGTGTCACCAGCCATCTAAGGCAGATACCTTAATATCCATGAATTAGTAATTCCTTAACAATATCTCCTTTACCAGTGCATTTTGAGGAGTGATGAGCAATCCAGATCTACTATTCCATCCTGGACTAGGAAAACTACATTGCTGATTTTGAGGTTGAGGTTTCACTAATTCTGTTCAGACTGAGTGTCACCTGACTTGCCTAAAAGTGACAGGGATGGAGGGTAGGGATGTGGAGGGAGGCATCTTGTATGGAAAGATGCCTTCTTACTTCATGAAAGATATAAGTACCTACCTATGTCAAGGACAACAGAGGTATGCTGATATTCTACCCACTGACTGAATCTTGATACTCAAGAGTAGGCCTTTCAGTTGTCCTTCAAGAAGACATTCCTTCACTTAAGGAAGTGAGATGCTACTAGCAAGTCATTTTGAACATATAATCTGTTGAGTAAAAAACCAAATGGATAAATAGGGACTGCAGAAGGATTTAAGCCCCAATTTCAAGTCTGTTTCATTAAAGTCAAATAAAAAGGTTCCCTGATGCAGGGTACAGGGTGTTCAACCAGCAGGGTTTTCATGTCTGAATACTTCTTAACTTCTTTGAGCCTCATTGCTCTTAACTATAAAACAAGGTCCCTAACTCAAGTTATCTCCAAATTCCCGAAAGCTGGGAGGCAAGTTACTTTACTGCATGAACTGTGTTCTTTAAAAATCCCTTTAAGGGCCGCCTGGGTGGCTCAGTGGGTTAAGCATCCGACTTTAACTCAGGTCATGATCATGGTTCGTGGGTTCGAGCCTCGAGTCGGGCTCTGTGCTGACAGCTCAGAGCCTGGAGCCTGTCTTCAGACTCTGTGTCTCCCTCTCTCTCTGACCCTCCCGTGCTCATGCTGTCTCTTTCAAAAATAAATAAAAAACATTAAAAAACAATTTTTTTAATCCCTTTAAGACAAAAGACTACTGTGCAGCTTCTTTAGGGCACCATTCTTGTTCACCAGCATCTTTTCTGTTGACCACTTATGCCCTCTAGTGATAAACTTAATTACACAACAGAATTAGCTTGGCAAACAGTTTGCTCCCGAGGAGTAAATGGGGGAAAACAGTAAGAATGCAGTAGATAAAAACAGTGTTAAAGCAAAAGAAAGACAGGACAAAGATGTAGGTAGAAAAAGATGGAAAGATGCTAAATGGCCATCATTTTCTGCAGTGTGCCGATGACTGTGCCTTCCAGAACAAACATTCGGTGTAATTACTTCTAGTAAAGAATACAAACACACTCCTGAATATGAAATTTTTTTCATGTATCACTGGAATACCCTTCTTCCTCATGTTAAGATCTAGATAAAGTTTCTTTTTCACATAGCGATATAATGGATATATTAAGACTTCTGGGGAATATCTATTACGTACCTACTGTGGACAATTAGCAGATGTGCTTTAAACACACTTGTCAAGGAGGTGCTAAGAGATTATATATAGTCATTACCAGTCTCACCTGTTCATGGATTTACCTGTGGAGATGGGTTCTGACTAAAACCATGTAGTGTGCTGGGCTTCAGCAAAGTCCCTGGCCTTCTACGTATCATTCCTTGGTGTCACCACCATAAAAATGCATTACTGGTCTTTGTCTCATCACATAATTGATAACAAATATCAGGGCCCTTCCTGGCACTAAATCTTACCTGTATATCAATGCTGGTTACATTTTTCTAGTGTAGGTACACAAAAAGAAGAAATAGATTTCAACAATACAAATTGGGATTTAGGTTAAACAAAAGAAAGATCTTCTTAACCATGCTGTTGTAAAGTACACATGGGTGAGAGGGTAAAGAATCTTCTTCTGAAAACTTTAAGAGGAGGAAACAAAACCTGTACTTAATTCTAACCCTGACTGGAACATAAGATGGGGATAATAACCAGTGAAGTTTCCTTTCTACTCTTAAAATGAAATATGACTGTATGTTTCATATACATGAAGTTCAAGAACAGACAGTACTAATCCATGGTGACAGAAATCAGAAGAGTGGTTGCCTCTTGGGATAGGCAAGGGGGCATGAAGGAACTTTTCAAGGTGATGGAAAAATTCTATATCTTGATTCGAGTGGTGTTTACACTGGTGTATATAATTGTCAAAATTCATCAAATAGTACACTTAAGATCTATGCAGTTTACTGGTTGTGAATTTTATCTCGAGAAAAAAAAAATATATATGCCAGAGTCTTGGGAAGAGTTACCTTTAAAAATAATAGATTCTGCCACTCTTCAGGAATAGGCTAAGAAAGAGAAGGGAGCTGTCATGACCTCAATAGCATATATAGTTTTACTGAACCAAAAACCAAGAAAAGAAGGGAGTGCCCTGGCTTCTCAGCAGTATCCATGCTGATTAGCTAACAGTGCCATTTCAACAGAATGCCCCCTTCTTTGGCTGGCTCAATTCTGGAAGGACATGGAGGTCAGGAAGAAAGAATGGTTCTAATATATTACTGTCTTGAAGTAGAATTGCAGCAGCTTACACTAGGCCATGGCCAGGCATGTTGCTCTGTGGGTCCATTATGATGATAAGGACATCATCATATGGTTAGTGTTAGAAGAGAGTACTTGGGAGAAAAACAGGTTAAGCGGGTTTTTTTTGTTTTTGTTTTTTTCTTTTTTCCTCTTCAGTTAAGTAACATTAAGGCTATAACCCAATCTAACAAAAGCCAAACAAGACTAGGGCTGGGCTGCTTGTGCTCACCTGGGTGGGCCTACCTCCCCTCACATGGTCTGCAGCCCGAGGAGATGAGTGTTTCACTGAAATAAACTTGAGTAATCAATCAAGCAAATGTATGGCTTTTAAAGGATTCCTCACCCTGTGCTGGCTTATCACCAATCTTTCCTTCTACATGGTTGGTAGGGCGGGAGATAGGCACCTGGAATATGCCTGTGCCAACTCTGGCTTGCCAGCAGACATTCAAAGTTACCATTCTAGAGATAACAGACCATTTATTCTTCTCTTAGGATTCACAGTGGAGTTGGCTTGACACATGGCAGACACTAGTTGATGCCTCAAGCAACTGGATGAGTGAAATGTTTTTCGGTCTGACAAATGACTTCCATGTCAAACCTCAATAGTCTCTGCGATTCCTCACCAATCAGAAAACCCTTTCTATAATTTTCAGTCACCTGTCCTAAGGTGAAATTCTCCGGGAAGCGTTGAATCAAGAACATCTTAGCTTTCCTTACCTGGTGCCCTTTGTTAGGATTTTCCCATGCCAAGTGGTTTGGAAGGGTGAAGACATAGATTGTCACTGACAAAAGACATCCTGTCACAACAAAGTTGTCCTTGTTGTTATGCCCTTTATGGATTTAAATGGCTTCTGTAACCCTTAAAGGATTAAAGTTCATTGCAGTGCTCTATAATCTATTACGCAGATCCTCTCTTTAGGTATCTTATAATTCCCCAAAGCAACTTTCCTACACTCACTCTTCGTAGCTCCAAAAGTCTTTCCCAACCCCCTTGAAGGACTGAAGAGTTACTGTTATTTGTGCATGCATATAACATACACACACACACACACACACACACACACACACACACACTCACACACCCTGCTCTAACAGAACCTCTTCTGTGGTATTTCCACCTGACCCAGCTCATCTTTGTGAAGTCACCTAGCTTCAACCAAGAGTAGGCAATTCCCACCTGTGTCACCACTGGTCACCTGGGCATTGCTTTTTGAAAGGCCACTACTATTTTGGATCTTGACTAAAATATAAGCAGGTCAATAACATAATATAGTATTTCTATTTCCTCTGCTAAGAATGAGTTAGTTGTCAATTTTCAGGATGAGTTTTCTAATATATTCTGAGAACACACTTTCAACTAACTGCAGGGCATAAGAAGGCCATCTTTTTACATAATTTCCAATAAAAATGTACATATAGTCTCAATTCATTTAGTCAAAACCACATTCCTTCCTGAACAAAGTCCTAATAAGGAAACCACTAACTTTCTGTCATGTTTGGCTTTCAGAAGCCTAGAGTATCATGAAAGCTGGGCCCAGGCCATGCACCACAGAGAAAAGCTGGATGCCAGGCTGGCGTTGTCTAAGAGTCAAGGGTTTAATCTTATTTCAAAGTCAAATATAAGTAGCTTTTGGATTGTGTAAGGTTTACATTCTTCACATTTATGTTCCTTTCCATATATAAGTATAGATCCATAAGAGAAATACTATCACTCTTGAATTTTCTTCCAAAGATTTCCAAGCACTTTCTACAAACAGTAACATATCCAGAGGAGAGAAAAAACAGTCAGGCAGACCCGACAGTTGTGAGAGATCAGCAGAAGGTATAGAGAAACACAGGAAACTTGCTCAAGAGCATGCGCGTTGTTACAGCAGCTGAGACAATACCAACTAACACCTGCCCCACCTCTCAGCGAGGTCTACCTCCAAACTCGCCCTCAACCCAAATCTGCATAGCGCCTGCTCTTCTCTATTAAAATTGTATGCATGTGAGAAAGGCTGAACCAAAAGGGACATGCCTCACGGGCCTGCCACTTACCAGTGCTGCTTTTACCTCTTCAGAGACTTCAGTATCATCTTCCTAAAGAGGAAGGAGGGAGAAAAACAAGAGGACCATGGTCACAGACATCCTTGAAGGCAACAAGGTCAGCTCCTATCAATTATGCATCTTGGCATCTCAAACACAGGCAATGAGAACTGACTGCCAAGTGATGTTCTGTTACTGTTGCTTTTAACAGCTACCACAGGCAGATAGCTTAGGAACATCGCCTGTCATTAAAAACATCAAATAAGCCATAGCTGGAAAAGGGGTATCATTAAGAAAGAAAGACTTTATTTCATCTCTGTCAATAGTTATCTATTTGGTCCGATAAAAATGAGATACTTTTTGGGGTGCCTGGGTGGCTTAGTCGGTTAAGCGTCCAACTCTTGATTTCAGCTCAGGTCATGATCTTATGGTCATGAGATCGAGCCTTGTGTTGGGCTCTGCACTGACAGCACAGAGCTTGTTTGATGTTTGATTTTCTCTCTCCTTCCCTCTCTCAAAATAAGTAAAAAATAAACTTAAAATTTTTAAAAAATGAGACACTTTAACCTAAAAAATACTTTCTAGTAGATGACTATATACTATCTCATTTCTTGTCTCACTGAATGGTTCCTCTAACTTTCAAATGATCATTGGTAGCCAGAGGGACCTCCTGATTATTGGTCACTTGATTTTTAAAATGCCAATAACAGGAGTGCCTGGGAGGCTCAACTGGTTGATTTGCACTCAGGTTGTGATCTCACACTTCATGAGATCGAGCCTCGAGATGGGCTCCGCACTGATAGCATGGAGCCTGCTTTGAATTCTCTCTCTTTCTGTCCCCCACGCCCCCACTGCCCCACTGCCCTGCTTGCACATGCGTGCTCTCTCTCTCCCCCCAAATAAATAAATAAACGTTTTTAAAAATGCTAATAACAAAGCTGAGTGAGAAGGGCATAGAAGAGGGGCTCCTGGGTGGCTCAGTTGGTTAAGTGTCCAACTCTTGATTTTGGCTCAGGTCATATCTCACAGTTCTTGGGTTCAAACCCCACATCAGGCTCCACGCTGACAGCATGAGGCCTGCTTGGGATTCTTTCTCTTCTCTGCTCCCCCTTTATGTACTCTCTCTCTTGTAAAATAAAATTTATTTATTTATGTATTTATTTTTGAGAGAGAGAGAGAGCAGGGCAGGGGCAGAAAGAGAGGGAGAGAGAGCATTCCAAGCAGGTTCCACACAGTCGGCACAGAGCCTGACATGGGGCTCAAGTTCATGAACCATGAGATCATGACCGGAGCTGAGGTCAAGAGTTGGATGCTTACTGACTGAGCCACCCAGGTGTTCCTCAAAATAAATTAAAAAAAATTTTTTAATAACTTCTCTCCACACTCCCACATGCTATAAATGGGAGTATAAACAAATAAACTTTTAAAAAAAGAGAGAAGGATATAGAACAAGAGAGTGAATTAAAGTACTGCATGTGTGTTTGCAGTTAGTAAGCACTGGTACATTTGTCTTTATTTTAAAGCCAAAGTTAATCTAGTTTATATTATTGTTTCTTTTCCCCTCCAAAAGAGTAAAACAGAGTCAGATGAACTTGTCCTACAAACAGATTTTAAGCTCCTTGAAATTCCTGTAGTGCTCCTAAAATATTTTGTTAGAATCTCTGTTAACAAGTGATATTGAGATATTGTTGACTACCTACATGACTTTCTGAGAATATTAGCGAGAACGACTGATATTTGACAAGCATATTCCCTTGTTATATTTGCTTACATGGTTGTAGATTTTCAGTTTTTTTCATTCTTCACCAATTATTTACTGAGTGCCTACTATGTGCCTGGTACTACTGTTCTAGGCAGTGGGGTATCCAGCCAAGAATATACCAAATGAGTCCCATACTAGGTGAATCTTTCTTCTTCTATCAGTAATATTCCTTGATAATCTGCAAGATGTATGGGACCACATAGGACTCTCTTTTTTAAAGTCAACATAAAGGATAACAGCCATGGGTGATGGGATATGTCCCAGCACAGACCAATCCACTCACATCCTTTGTCCAGAAATTGATGCCTGTGCCTCTTCGCCGCTCCTTGGGCCTCCTCCTCTCACGGATGGACAGCCTATTAGAGGACTGATCATCCACATCTGCATCTTCACTCTCTGGCCAAGGATAAAACAAAGTGTGATCTTAGGAGTCTTAGCGTCCTCAAGCACGCTAGAGAGGAGCCTGCACATTCTGAAGCTCCACATACCATTTTTGTCCATTTCCTTTGCAACCGCAGCGTTTGTGCTGGTCTCGGAACTCTCGGTGTCGGGGACTGAAGGTCTGCTCGTCCGCAGCAGATGAGAACTAGTGTAGAGAGTAGGTCTTGATGCAGAAGGAGACACTGGTGTTGTGGGTTTGTCTGGCTGAGCTGAATACCTCAGGCGACGATAGACAGGCTGGAAATAATCCACAGGGTGAGGTGTTAGAGGTCAAGTCCAACCAAATGATAAGGATAGCAGGCTTATTAAAAAAGGGCTTTTTCTATACCAAGAGACTTACTAATAGTAAATGCTCAATAAATAGCCACTGAGCTGAACTACAGTTAGTTAATTAGCCAGAAAGGAAATAGCTTTTGGATTCCTATTCTGATAATATGATCATGTGGATAGAAGCCCATGAAAATTTTTTCCTACACTGACTCAAAGGCACTAGGTATAGCACTAATCTTGTTAATAAAAATTCCTTTAATTTTGGAATGAAAATAAGAAGAATGGTGGCCTTTTCAAGATGGAGCACTGAAAGGTAAGGTTTTAGTAGAAAAATAAAAAGCTTGGGAATATGAAGAAACAGTACAGAGTTACCTGAGAACAGAGACCAAATCTGAGCATTCTACAAATTTCTGATTATTCTACCAAAGTGCCATAACCAGGCTTACCGAAACTTAAAAAAATTCCCATTTTCCCCTTTGAACTTTTTTTCCCAATGAAAAAGACACAGCCTGAAAATAAGCCTTAGCTTGGTTTATTACAGATGCACAGATAATTATTACTACATGTAGAGACTATATACTTTTTTGTTTATAAAGACAGAAGCAATAAAATATAGTAAGCTTTGGAATCAGGCAGAACTTAGTTTAACTTCTAGCTTCAGCATTTACTAGCTGTGTGGCTTTGAATAAGTTACTTAACTTCTCTGGGCCTCAGCTTCCTCACATATAAAAGAGGGATAATATCTTCCTCAGAGAGGGCTGTGAGGATTATATGAGATAATGTATGTTAGGTGCTTAAAACAGTAGCTAGTAATAAATACTCAATAAACCTATAAACAGTAGCTGATAAACAACAACAACAACAGAAAAATCCAAAAGAACCTTAGTTGATAGAGCCTGGCCATTTGGAGATGGAGCAAGTCGATTCCTTTTTCCTCTAACTATGGTAATGGTAAAATTTAACATCCCAGTTGAGACACTTCTGAGAGCGAAGATAAACAGTGTCACTAATTACAGAGATAACAGGTGTGATCTGAACCCTCTTCGGTAAACCAGGAGGAGTTCTGTTCACCCTAAACATAACCCTAACCTTTTGACTACGAACTCCATTAGAGAAAGGGAACAGAAGTTAACATGTCTACCTCAACACTGACATCTTGTGGCACGGAATTAAGCAGTGCTTTGCAAAATCAGGTTTGTAGGAGGTTACGGAACACTATAATCATGGCTGAGAGGGCACTCTGGAGCCTGACTGCCTATGCGCAAGTTCTTGCTCCACCACTTCCCATCTGTGTGAAATGCTGGACCAGTTACTTAACCTCTTTGTGACTCAATTTCCTCCCATTTCCTTCCCATAGTGGGAATAATAATGTTTACCTCAGCAGGCTGCTTTGAGGAGTAAACGAATTAATACATATGAAATAGTTAAAATAATGCCCGGGATAAAGTAAACACTCAATAAATCCTCACGTTTCTATTTATATTTTTATTATACTATACTATATTATACTATAACCTCTCTTTTTAGGATAGAAAGACATTAGTTTAAGAATTAGTTAGCTACACTTACTGAGGTAATCATTTCACTATAAATACCAAAGCATCACGTTGTACACCTAAAACTAATAAAATGTTATTATGTCAGCATCTCAATAAAACCGGATAAAAAGTAAGCATTATTTAACTCCAAGAGGAAACAGATGATTACTTAAGGACTGACACCTTGAGTTCTGTCAGTTATACAGGTTTACCAACTAGAGACAGACATGATCAGTGTTTTCTAGGAGTTGTCCACTTGAAAGTAGCACAGCGCTTGAATTATCAGTGAGGAAGGGATTCCCCCCATCAATGGCCCTGCTTTTAGCACAGTACAAGCCAGCAAAAGGGACTTACCTCCTCATCCAGACTCCGGCCCCAGGGTTGACGACCCTCACCAGCTTCCTTCGCTGGGACTGCTGAGGGCTCATGCTTTTCTGGGCTTCCCTCAAGCCCTTCGGGGCCCACGGGCTTCTGGCTAGGCTGCTCCTGTGCTTGCCGTTCTGCCCTCGACCGGCTGAATGTCCTTTCTGCTTCCTGAAGGTCTGTTAGTGTCACGCCCTGGGAAAATGGCACGAGGTCAGGGAAGTTCCACTCTAACCACAGAATAACTCTTGATAAATGAGCAGGGAAACTGCCTTAAACATCTAATAGTATCAAAGTCCAAATGAAGCTCCCCAAATGCATGGGGCCATTTCAAGCAAGATATGCTTAAAATAAACACGTCAGTGTGCAAAGAGCCCCGCCTGAGTCTAGGTATTACCTTTCAAGTGTAATACTTAGCTTTTCCACTTTGAGTTCCAGGAAACAGGGCAACATTGATGCCCCCTGTTGTGGATGTACTTCTCTCATACCCCTAGCTCGCAACATCGTTGTTTGAAAGCTCCATACCCCCCAAGAGAAAATGGTTACCAAGAAAGATTCTCTGAAGAGTGGATACTAGAAAAACTTGATTTTACTTATAGGAAGAAAAACCAGCCCCCAAAAGGTGGAAATTCAGAGCCAGGCTAGAACAACAATAAAAACCAACCAACCAAAAAAACCAAAAAGACACCACCTAAACTAGCTTTACTCTAAGATGATTTTCTCAGTAATTCTAGGAATGTCACACAGAGACGTTCCAACAATTGATATTTCTCTCAGGCTCTCAGGAGCAGCAATACGGAAGAAAAGTAATTAGGAGGCATCTGTAGAAAAAGGGAGAAAGAGAGTAAGGACCAGAGTGAGCTGATTCTAACTCAAGCAGTTATATGCTCAAGTCCTCAGAAGGGAGTTCTAAAGCTTGAAGGTAGCTGTGCTGGTACTCTATCCACAACCTGTTTGGTTTTAAACTAATCACAAATTTAGTCACTCATTCTCTTAATAAATTATTAAGTGTCTTTAAGCACTGGAACTACAAAGACCAATCAAATGATTCCTGTGTTCAAGAACCTTTTAATCTAGTGGAAAAGATGTAAGAAAGCAGATGAGTATAACGGGATGTAAGTATTAAGACAGAATATATGATCCAGCAATTTCCATTTCTGAGAATCTACCCAAAAGAACTGAAAGCAGGGTCTCAAAGAGATCATGTGTACACCCACGCTCATAGCGGTATTATTCACAATAGTAAAATGGTGGTAGCAAGTGAAGAGTCCACCAGCAGATGAAAGAATGAACAAAATGTGGTATATACAGTGAAATATCATTCATCCTTAAAAAGAATGAAATACTGATACATGCCACAACTTGGATGAGCCTAGAAGACATTATGCTAAGTGAAATAAGCCAGTCACCAAAGGACAAACACTGTATGATTCCACTTGTGTGAAGTACTTAGATTAGTCAAGTTCATAGACATAAGAAGTAGAATGGTGGTTGCCAGAGGCTTGGGGGAGAGATGGACGGAATCATTGTTGAATGGGTATGAAATTTCAGCTTGGGAATAAAAGAGGTATTGGTGTGGGGCGCATGGGTGGCTTAGTCGGTTAAGCGTCCGACTTTCGCTTAGGTCATGATCTCGCGGTTTGTGGGTTCGAGCCCCGCGTCGGGCTCTGTGCTGACTGCCAGCTCAGAGCCTGGAGCCTGTTTCAGAGTCTGTGACTCCCTCTCTTTCTGACCCTCCCCTGCTCACGCTGTCTCTCTCTCTCTCTCTCCTAGAAATGGATAAAACATTAAAAAAAAAAATTTTTTTTAAAGTATTGGTGATAGATGGTGGTAACAGTTGCAAAATAATGTTAATTACTTAATGCCACTGAACCATACACTTAAAAAATGTTTAAAGTGGTAAATTATATGTTATGTATATTTTACCGCAAGAAACTAAACCAAAACAAAAAAATTATAGTCAGTCTTGGTCTTCATGGAGATTACATTCCAAGAAGGGAAAACAGAAATAATCATTGAGCAAAAATAAAATAATAGCTGTCAAAATTACTATAACGGAAAAATACTTAACCTATTTGGGGAAGGTCAGGGAAGACAAGGGTACATTTGTGGCTATTTATAAAGTCTCTTTTACAGTCCTCAGCTATTTGACCTCTGTAGCATTTAAAACTGTTACCTTCACCTTTTACCTGGAAACGGACTTTTCTTTCTTTTTTTTTTAATTGAGAGTGCTAGCAGGGGAGGAGCAGAGAGAGAGGGAGACAAAGAATCTGAAGCAGGCTCTGTGCTGTCAGCACAAAGCCTGACATGGGCTCGAATCCACAAACTGTGGGATCATGACTTGAGCTGAAGTCAGATGCTCAACCAACTGAGCCACCCAGGCGCCCCTGGATACTGACTTTTCATTTACTTCTATTCCGCTACTATTTCCTGGTTTACTTTTCATCTCTCTAGCTGCTCCTTTTAATTGTGCTTCATCAGCTCATTGTCGGCCTCCCTAATGCCAATTCACAGCTTTCTCTCCCTTCTCCTCACCACTGCATACTGAGTTCATGGTCCTGTTACTCCCAGCTTGGACTACTGTAATAGTCTTCTAGTTTTCTAACCGGTCTTCTAGTTTCCTGGCTTCACAAACATACTTTTGCCCACCACTCCCATCAATTCTCTGCATGGTGACTTTTGCAAAATATAACACAGATTATATCAGGCTCTTCCTTACTTCAATGCCTCCCTTAGGAATTTTTTTCTTTTAAAAACATCTTTATTGAAACATAAGTCACATATCATAAAACCCACCCTTTAAAAGTACAGGCATACCTCAGAGGTATTGACGTTTGGTTCTAGTACTGTGATAAAGTGAGTATCACAATACAGGCAGTCAAACAAATTTTTTGGTTTCTCGGTGCATATAAAAGTTATGTTTACACTACGCTGTGGTCTATTAATTGCGCAATAGTATTATGTCCAAAAAGCAATGCACATGCTTTAATTAAAAAATACGTTAGTACTAAAAAAAAAGGCTAACAATCATCTGAGCTTTTCAGTGAGTCATAATCTTTTTGCTGGAGGAGGGTCATGCCTTTATGTTAATGACTGCTGACTGACCAGGGTGGCTGTGGCAATTTCTTATAATACGACAGCAATGAAGGAAATGTGCTGCATCGGTTGATTCTTGCTTTCATGAACAATTTTTCTGTAGTATGCGATACTGTTTGACAACATCTTACAGCAGAACTGCTTTCAAAATTGGACTCAATCCTCTCAAACCCTGCCACTGCTTTATCAACTAAGTTTAGATCGTATTCTGAATCCTTTGTTGTCATTTCAATAATCTTCACAGCATCTTCACCAGGGGTAGATTCCATCTCAAGAAACAACTGTTTTTGCTCACCCATAAGAAGCAACTCCTCATCTGTTCAAGTTTTTATCATGAGATCACAGCCATTCAGTCCTATCTTCGGGCTCCACAGCTAACTCTACTTCTCACTATTTCCACATCTGCAGTTACACATCCCACTGAACTTTGAACTTTCGATTTGTATATTTAAAAAAGGCAGTATCTGCAAAGTGCAATAAAGTGAGGTCTGCCTGGATACAATGCAGTGACTTAGCATATTCACAGACTTGCGCAGCCATCATCACCATCTCATTCTGGAGCATCCCCCACCCAGAAACAAACTCCACATCTATCGGCGGCCACTCCCTATTCCTCTTTCTCTCCCACCCCTGGCAACCACTAATCTATCTTCTCTTTCTCTGCCTTTGCCTATTCTGGGTATTTTCATATAAGTGGAATCATGTCTGCTTTCTTTCACTTAACATAAGGTTTTCTTAAGGTTCATGCACATGGTAGCATTAGCATGTATCAGTACTTCATTTCTTTTTATTGCCAAATAATATTCTATTGTATGGACATATAACATTTCATTTATCCATTTCTTTGTTAACAGAAATCTGTATTCTTTTTTCCCCAGTTATAGTAACTGCTTAATTTATCTGGTCTGCTCGAAGGCTCAGCTTGTGCCCACCACTACTATACCTGCCAAGGGGAGCTGAGTACAACCAGCCACACAATGCTAAGTCTGGCTGTTGCTGGGAGCCCAGGACTCAACTCTACGGCAAGCCCGCAAACTCCTCACATAAGTATGGTCTACACAGCAAGTAAACTCTAGCCAGACTTTGGAGATGACACTAAATTTGGGGTGTGGGCTACCATGCTATTATAAACATCTATGTACAAGTTTTTCTGTGGACATATGTTTTCATGTTCCTTGAGTATATACCTAAGAGTAGAATTGCTAGGTCATATGGTATCTGTATATGTAACATTTTTAGGAACTGCCAACCTGTTTTCCTTTAGGGATCTTAAGATGTGGCCCCTTAAGCACAAATGGAATGATTAGTCTTGTGAAGGAAAGGAGATAAACCTGCTCTGAGCCTGGAAATATAAGAGTGAGAGTGGGTAGATGTAGCTATAAATTCATCTGATACTATGTAGTATAAGATTTAAGACAGGTGAAAACTTCTACTACACTGACTGGAATAAGGCACTCATCTTACTATTTTAATTGTACCTCCAACAGAAAGGCAGACAAAATGACAACAAAGAAGGTCACACTCACTTGAGTAGACCTTCGAGTCTGCCGAGCTTGTCTGGAGCGCGCTTTCCGTAAAGATTCCGCTTCCTCATCCCGTACAGGAGTCAGATATGACCTGCAAAGAAAAAAGTAATACCAGAAGTAAGACCTTTGCTACATGTACTTGAGGAATGACAAGGGACTTCCACAGACTGAAGTGATTTCTACACTCTAAGAATGAATTTGGGCAGAATCAAAATGATAGAGATGCTATCAGTGAAAACTGCATAATCAACATTACTTTTAAATGTATTACTTTCAATGCAGAATCATGTCATCTGTAAAATGAGAATTTCAGTTCTTCTTTCCCTATCCTTACAATTTTTATTTCTTTTCTTTATTTTAATGCACTGGCCAGAACCTCCAGGACGTGCTGAAAAGAAGTCATGATAGTAAGTTTCCATGCTATGTTCCTGCCTTCAGAGAGAGAAAGCATTCAGCATTTTATTACTGTGATATCTAAGATTTCTCTAGACACTGCATTTCGTTAATCAGTTGAGAAACGAATTGTTTTTTTAATCATTAGTGTGTGTTGAACTTATCACGTGTTTCCTCCCCATATATTGAGATTATCATTTTCTTCCCTTTTTTCTGTTAATATGGTGAATTGCATTGAATAATTTTTGAATGATAAAATAACCTTGAATTCTTAGGGTAAGCTCAATTTGGCCATGATGTATCATCTTTTTTTTTAAAAGAAATATTGTTTATGTATATATTTTTAAGTAAGCTCTATGTCCAATTTGGGACTTGAACTCACAGCCTTGAGATCAAGAATCAAATGTTCTATCAACTGAGCAAGTCAGGTGCCCCTATACAGAGTTGCTTTTATATAGATTCAGTATTATTTAGTTTAGGATTCTCCATCCCTAGAGAAATTGGTCTATAATTTTCTCTTCTTATAACTTGCCAGGTCTGGGAATTACAGTTAATCAAGTTGAGAAGTGTTTTCTCCTTGTCTATTTTCTGTAAGAATTTATAAGATTAGAGTTCTTTCTTCCTTAAATAATTAGTAAAGCGCACCACTGAAGACATCTAGATTTTAAGTGTTCTTTATGGGAGGGTTTTTTGATACCAAAAAGCAAAGGCAATAAAAGCAAAAATAAATAAGTAGGACTATATCAAACTAAAAAGCTCTGCACAGCAAAGTAAACCTTCAGCAAAATGAAACAGCAACTTACAGAATGGAAGAAACTATTGGCAAATCATATATCTAAAAAGGGATTACTATCCAAAATAAAGAACTCATATAAATCAAGAGACAAAAAAAAAATCTTATCTCACTTACATGTGAAATCTTAAAAAAAAAACCCACAAACCCATAGATATGGAGAACTGATTTGCAGTTAACAGAGGCAGAGAAGTAGAAGGTGGGCAAAGTAGGTGAACATGCTCAAAATGTACAAACTTTGATTTATAAGATTAGTAAGTCCTGAGTATTTAATGTACACTATGGTGACTATAATTTACAATGCTGTATATGTATTTGAAAATTGCTAACAGAGTCATTTTAAAAGTTCTTATGAGGGAAAAATTGTAATTATGTGTGATGATCAGGTTAGTTGGATATTAACTAACATTAATGGTAGTAATCATTTTATATTTATTAAATTACTAAGTTGCACATCTAAAACTAATACAATGTTATGTGTCAGTAATATCTCATTAAAAATGGAAAAAGAAAACATAAAAAGAATCATTGTTTAAGTCACCTTTGATCTTTTTTTTTTTTTAATTTTAAAAATTATTTTAAGGGTGGGGAATAGTAGAGAGGGAGAGAGAGAAAATCTTAAGCAGGCTCCATGCTCAGCATGGAGACCAACACAGGGCTTGATCCCATGACCCTGGGATCATGACCCAAGCCAAAATCAAGAGTTGGACACTCAGCCCACTGAGCCACCCAGGTGTCTGCACCTTTGATCTTAAGACAGTCTTTAAATATTGGGAAGCAGTAGCCAATACTAGTACTCACGGTGGGCAGATACAAGTTTTCAAAACTCTAATTTCTGCTTGAAATTTAAAATTTTACAACTGGTAACAATATTTTGTGACAGTCTTACTTGTTCATTTTCAAGAAAGTACCTGCCAAATACCCAAGTCTGAATAACCAGTCTTCCCAGTCATTCTTTCAAGCAAATACGGTATTCCAGGAAAAAAGTAGTCAGTTCTTTTTGCTTCCTCTCCACTCCAATTATTATTATGTTAGATCTTACTAGCCATGATCTATTCATTTATTTTGCTTTTTCTGTATTTCCCATCCTCTTCTTTCTCTGGGTTTCATTCTGAATATATGTATTTTTTCTTTTTTAAAGTGGTATTTATCTCTAGACTCAACATGGAGCTTGAACTTACAACCCTGAGATCAAGAGCAGCATGTTCGATTTCAACTGAGCCAGCCAGGTGCCCCCATTCTGGATATTTTCTACTGTCTATCTAATTACCACTATTATCTCTTCAGCTGGTCTACTATAAACTCACCAGCAGAATTTCTAATTTCAGTTATTAAATTTTCAGTTCTAGAATTTCTACTTGATCCTTTTTTTAAAATTTTTAATGTTTTATTTATTTCTGAAAGAGAGAGAGAACCTGAGCAGCGGAGGGTTAGAGAGAGAGGGAGGCACAGTATCTGAAGCAAGCTCCAGGCTCTGAGCTGTCAGGCTCTGAGCTGTCAGCACAGAGCCCGACGCGGGGCTCGAACCCACGAACCGTGAGATCATGGCTTGAGCTGAAGCCGGACACTTAACCGACTGAGCCACCCAGGCGCCCCTTGATTCTTTTTTAAATAGATTACAGTTCTCTGTTGAAATTTCCCATCTCCTATTTTCTTGAAGATATTAATCATAATTAGTTTAAAGTCCATGTCTCATAACATCAATATCTGGATCAGTTGTTATTGTTTATTTTTATTAGTCTTTTGGTAAATTTGGTATTCTGCTAATTTATGAATTAATGCCAAACATTTTTTAAAATGTTTGAATGCATGTCTTTATTAGAAAAATTTTAAGTGCAGGAAGCTGCCTTCTCCTCAATCATTTTCACATTATCTGAGAGATGCAGTGGAAACAATACAAAATACAGTGTTTATCACATTTATTATTATTATTTTTTATTTGAGAGAGAGAGAGAACACATAAGTGGGAGAGAGAGAGAGAGTAGGGCAGAGAGGAAGGTGGGAAAGGAGGGGGGGTGTTGAGGAGGGGAGAGACAGAGAGACAGAGAGAGAATCCCAAGCAGGCTCCATGCTGAGCATGGAGGAGACTCAATCCCACAACTTGGGGATCATGACCTAAGTGGAAATCAAGAGTCAGACCCTCAACTGACTGAGCCACCCAGTATTTATCACATTTAACACTGAACCCATTATTCCTTAGAGACTGAGAGTCCAGCAAGGTTGAGAATAGCTGCCAAACACTTTTAATGAAAAAATGTAGTGATAACTTACAGCTCTGAAAGATATCATCCTCCAGAGAGGATATTCTTTTCCTCTGGCAGTTAGGTTAAAGGAGTGATTCTCAAACTTTCATCTGCATCAGAATTATTTAGGGGGTTTGTGAAATACAAATTGCTAGGCTCTACCTCTACAAGTCCTGATTCAGTAGGTCTGGAGTAGGCTCTGAGAATTTGCATTTCTAGTTAGATCTCTGTGATGCTTCTGATATGGCCACCATACTTTGAGAACTACAGGGCCAAGACAAATGACCTTAATCTACTTTGAGACTGAGATGGTTGGAAGTCTTTGCAAGGGCTAGTCTGTTTCTGGTAAGCTTTTACTTCTAGAGTGTAGCCCGTCAGTGGTCCCAGATGAAAGTATGGGGTCCCTCTTCCTGAACTATAATCTTTGTTCCCACAACTCCATGAGACTACTGAAAACCCTGCCCAGTTTCTTATCCTTGTTGCTATGGCTTTACTAATCATCAAATGCCTCAAGGGGAAAGACACAGATAAATGGTGGATTCATCTCTTTATGATTTCCTTCTCTCCTGAATCTTGATCCCTCAAGTCCTCACTTCCTTAATAACTCTCTAATACCCTCAAAGATACTTGTTAATATTTGTCCAGCTTTTCTAGTTATTCTCAGTGGGAGGAGTTTGTAGACAAGATATGCCATGGCCTGAAGCACATGTCCCCAACCAAGCTATTTATTTATTCATTCATTCATTTAAGTAGGCTCTGTGCCCAATGTGGGGCTTGAACTCAGCACCCAAAGATTAAGAGTCATATGTTCTACTGACTGAGCCAGCCCGGAGTCCCCAGGCTTCCCTCGACGTAGATTAGTAAATGGGAATTCTAATACATTTGTCAATCCACTGTTAATTTGGTACATTTGAGTCCTTCCTTAATATGCTCCTCTCCTCTGAGTAAAAAAAAATTAAGTCTCCAAATTTACAAAGCTGTGGACCAGACCCTGGAACTGATGACCACACTAAGGACTAACTCTCTATGAAATTCTGTCTCAGTTACCAACCAGCCTACTCATATGTCATTTCTCCCTGCAAAATATATAGACCATCACTATTATATTTAATTTTTACTGTTATCCTTTCTTTATCCTTTCTGTTATCCTTTCAGTACTAGGCAGGAGCCACAGTGAAAGAAAAGAGCTTCAAACTGGCTTATCCCACTGCCTGTTCTAGAGTTTAATTGAATAAGAGAAACAGAGTTAGTAAAAGCAGGCCTAGTAGGTAAGATCAATAACATTTTACCCGACTTGAAGTCTTGGGTATTTGAAGCCATATATGTTTTTCATAGAAAAATTAGAAAACAGACAAAATTGCAAAAACAAAAACAAATGAAAATTCCACCACATGAAAATAATCCATTTTCATTCTATTACATACATGTCTGGATTGTTATCTATGTATGTATCTATGTATTTAGGTTTTTTTAGTGAATATCACATATACGATTTTGTTACTTGTATCAATATATGAAATGCTTATGATTTGAGTTGTAAAAAAAAAAAATCTAAAGACAGAACCTGGAAGCCTCCAGTACTTGAATCTATACATATTTTTGAGGAAGAAAAAAACATTTTCATTCATTTTCTTTACCTAGATGTGGATTCCAAGGTTCACA